TTAGGATAAGATTCATCATCGTTAGGATAAGATTCATCATCGTTAGGATAAGATTCATCATCGTTAGGATAAGATTCATCATCGTTAGGATAAGATTCGTCATAGTTTGGATAAGATTCATCATTGTTAGGATAAGATTCATCATTGTTAGGATAAGATTCATCATTGTTAGGATAAGATTCATCATCGTTAGGATAAGACTCATCATTTCCTGGCAGTGGCTCATCATTATTAGGAGGAAAATCCTCATTACCAGGGGAATTGTTATTTTCAGGTGAATTATCGTCTTGATATCCAGGGTCATACAGGTGATACTCAGGTTCACCGTGAGCAAAATAGTGGGATCCAGGGTCATTACTGGGAACGGGTACGGCGTGAGCAAAATGGAGGGACCCAGGGTCATTACTGTGAACGGGTACACCGTGAGCTACATGGTATCCAGGGTCATTACTGGGAACGGGTACACCGTGAGCTACATGGTATCCAGGGTCATTACTGGGAACGGGTGCAGGAGAAATAGCAGTATTGATATAAGATTTAGTGGCAGGACGTGTAGAAATAGCATTATTGGTATAAGGTTTAGTGACAGGACGTGTAGAAATAGCAGTATTGGTATTAAATGTAGTAGGATCAGAGATCACAAATGATGAGAATAACAAATAACTAAGAGTAATGATTAGCTTCATAGTTTAATTATTTATAAGCAAAAGAATTAATAATGAAAGAATGAATATAAAATTTGGAAAGCTTAAAATTGACAATTATTCATGCTAAAGCTCATTTTTTACACTTATATAGAAATTTAAGATTTAGGAATAGTGACAATCCTAAAGGAAGTTTAGAACGCTATATTTACTAATAAGATGTACAAGTCAATTTTATGGCGAAATAATATAATATAAACAATGCTGTAAAATATTAATACGTATATACATATGGTTATTTTGTTCTATTTCCTTTTCAGTTTAATAAAGATCAAAGATCGAAATGTTAAACTTATCAAACAGGAGAAACTGTCGATGTTACACGACTGATCCTTCACCCGGTGTGCAACATATAAAAAAATAATTTTACAATACCAGATCATTCCGCTAGTACACTTAATTATAATAAAAATGCTGTTGGATTATAATCATAATGTGTACTACTGTACTAGCGGAATGATCTGGTATTGTAAAATGATTTTTTATATATCGACGGTTCCTCCTGCTAAATTTACCACCATTTTTCAATTTCCTTATTTGAGGGTCGGTTAAAGCAGAGTTAATTTAATAAGTTGCATTTTTTTTTGATATCTATATAACCTACTCACCCTGACTGCATCAAAAAGGTAATCCTAAAACTCACTCCACTTTAACCGACCACCTTATTTGGGATCATGTACATCATGAGACATTCTGTTAACTACGACGAATTAAAACAATTTCCATATGCACACTTAGACAAAATTTTAAATTCATGCGAGTCATTATGCAAGTAATAATAAAGTTTACAATTCTATATGTAGCATAACATGAAACGATAGTCATACAACAATTTTCATGATATTTGAATTTAAAATATTTAACCAGATTGGTTTACAGCTGGAATAGAATAAACCATGAATTTTTGTGCTTAAACTCACATATTTCAGCATTACATGTTTTATGCTTATTTTAGTGTTCAGATCCATTGAACTTTTCATCTGGATTATCCAGATAACTTTTTTTGTTCAACAGAAAATTTACTATTATTCGGACAATTATCCGGATAATTATCTATATTCAAACGATTACCAATCATATATGTACAGTACAAAATCAGGTATAATGTTGATATTAAAAAAAAAACCAATTTTGAAATTATAAGAAAAGCTAGATTTGCGATATTTTAATGTGCTGACTGGATAGATAATGACTGAGGAGTTAAAGGGTTTGCTGCAATTCAAAATATATTATATGATATTGGTTGTAAATATTTAACATTTTTAAGGTGTTACAAAATATCAAAGATGATTATTCTAGCGATTATCCTCACTTCAGAGTATGAACCTTACATCATTGTAGTATATATGGGATGGAAAATAAATAGAAATAGAAGAGAAAGATAATTCCTATTATATAGACAAAAGAAGTTGAATGTGTGTGAGGGCGTAGGTGAAGGTGAAGGTAAAAGTAAAAGTAAAGTTATAGTTACAGTTAATAAGGTGGCTTTAGGTGAAAAAAAGTAAAGATGAGATGAAAATAAAGAGAAATAAAGAAAAATAAAAAATGATAATAAATTTAATATATTTTATATTTTAGTATTTTAAATATTGATGTATTAGTAAATAAATATAAATTAAAAAATATAACATAAATATTTGCTAAGGCCGTTTAAAGTTAATTAGTTGGTTAACGTCAAGATTTTGGGTTCAGGCAAGGGGGGGGAGGGGGGAATTTTAAACAAACATAATAAAATAAACACTATTGTAAATTTTTATTTATTTATGTTAAGTACGAACTTTTTTGCTTTTTGCTTGAAACACAATTGGTGCACGAGTAGACCATTCACGGCCATTAGAATAACATAAAGCACATAATGGGTAAATAGTTTTAAATTGTGTCTTTAACTCATCAGAAGGATAAAGAATACCATCTTCGGCTCCACACCAGTAACATAAATCAACATCTTTTAAACGGCTTGAGTAATAATTTCGTTCAATAGGTGAATCACAAGTAATATTTTGGTGTATATGAAGTTGATTAAAAAGTGGGTGGTTTTCTGGAAGAACTGGTGATCCACAACTATAGGATATACTTTCAAAGTATTTTATAACTATTTGAGAATTTTCTTCACTTAAAGTTGTATCACTATAAATGCAACGATATTTCCCACAAAAATCACAACAAATCAAAAGCCTAATTTTCGTATTTATAAAAATACCCGCTTGAGATTCCTCATTCAAAATTTCTTGATGTAATAACCGGTATTTTTCATCAGTTAGTCTTCCATATAATTCATCAAACTCTTTATAATGCTCTTTGTCTATATAATTAATAAAGCATTCTTAAAACTAGTAAAACAATTAAAAATCAAATTTTTTATATAAATTTTACCTGCAGAAATTTCTGAATCAGGTAAAAATGATAATAATTTAAATTAATCATATGGCATTCGAATTGGTTGACATATATAACATTCTTGCCTTGTACATTTTTTAATTTGAAAGATATATGTTCGAATTTGACAATGAGTTTTTAAAAACTCATGATAAAGTTGTTTTTTTAATGCATTGGATGTAGTCATTGTTTGTTTAAGACTTGGATCGATCATATGTATAGTCTAAAATATATTAATGTAGTTATAAAGAATTTGTTATTGAATTACCAAATAATAAATAATAATTTACCTTAAAAAATTGCTCAATTTCTAAATCCGTTGCTATTTGACCAATTAAAAAATAATCATCATGAAGTTTTAATCGCATTGACCTTTCATTTAACATGTTTTGAATATCTTTAATTGATGCAGATAATTCTTTTTTTAACTTTAAATTGTTTTTTGTTTCTTCGCAAATTGATTCCAAAGTTTTAAGTTGCGCAAATACTAATTCAGATTCTTTACTCATTTGATTACATTGTAAAGCTATATCTTGCAATGCAAGATTAATAATTGACATAATTCTCTCTGCTGGATTTGCCCAACTATGATATGGTGCAGTTCTAGCAGCTATTAACATATTGAAATTGCCTTTAAGAAAAAGACATATTAAAGAAATTTGAACTGAACCAAATGTACATTTGTGATCTGGTCTACCATCCATATAAATCATTAAAATTTCAGGTAAAAATTCATTATAATATAAATTTAAATTATTATAAAATTCTGTACTATGTCGAAGAGCTGAACTAGGTTGAAAAACTGTATCTTTGTATGCTACAAAAACTTGTCCATTATAAAATGAATCTGTAGGTTCTTCAGGTATTGTAACTAATAATGTTACTGATGGTGTTAAAGACAACTTTGTAAAATCATGATCACTTGCATTTAATGTAGTTGAAATTGGAATAGTTACACATTTATTTTGTACTCCAGTTGATGTTGCAATATCTTCACCAATAGATACTTTATGTTTATCATCAACAAATATTAATGCAGTATATTCTTTAAATTTTACTGCAAAGTGATGAAAATATTTAAATATTGCATGATAATAATGTGCATCTGGATGTGATTTCCTAAGTTATCTTACTTGAATCTTGTATTTAATTTCAAACCATCCAACATAATTTATACTAGATTTGACCCAAGGATTTTTTGGATAAAATTGCAAAGCAATCCATTGTTCTGATGAAACTAAAAAATCTTTAATTAAATTTTTGTTTTTTTTTTATTTAGTCTTAAAACTATAATATCTTTTAAATTTCGAACTGACATAAAAAGTGGCATATAAAGTGTAGATCCATAAATCTATCTTGAACTGTTGGTAAGTTCTAAAAAATATAACAATTAAATTAATTAATTTATTAATTAATTTATTTTATCATATTATAAATAATGATTAACTATTAACCTCTTTAAAATATGTAGAAACTTCATTACAAAAAATATCAAACTTTGTGCCTTTAATAATCCATTATTAGTTCGTAGGTCTACAACAATTTCTGGATTATCTAATTCTAACATAAGTTTAAGCCGCTTATTTATTTGTTTGATTTTTTCAGTTACACCAATGCTAGAGTCATCAGTTAAATTATAATACAATAAGCATAAAATATTCAGTGTAATTTGAGTTAAAAGTAAATATTATAAAAAAGACAAATAGCTTTAATATTAAGTAATTTTAATTTACTTCAAATTGTATAATTAAAAAAGTATCTTTTCAAATATATTCTTTCGCATTCTATATATAAAATAATGAAGAAGTTTTTTTTGAATTTCAATTATTGCTTTTACTTGCAAATTGTCTGATCTTTTATTAGGATCCAAAGAAACTCGCCATATAAAATTTAAAGTTCCAAGATAGTTACTATGATAATATCGATAAAACATAATTATTGAATCTAATTGTAAATTTTTAATAAAAGTATATCTTTCATATTTGTTTTATGACAAATATTCATCTAATAAAACAACTTCATAATTATTTGATTCCCGAATTTTTGTAGCTAATAATTTGTAGCATTCTTTAAGATTGTGTCTGAAGCATTCTATTCGAATTTCAATATTGCTATTATCTAATAGATTACATGCAGGTTGCATAACATTGTGAATTGTATTAATACTATTATTAACATCATCTAAATATTTCATATATTTTTGAATACATGAGATTAATATAAAAACCTCTCTTATAAATTAACTTCATAATTCATTTGTTGTCCAAGATTGAGATATGCAATTTTTAATGGTTTTTATTAATAATTCTAGTTTAGAATGCTGCAAAATTCCTTTTTTATGATGAGATTCTTTTTTATAATACTGTTTGTTCTGATATTCATACAAAGATAAAACAAATTCTGGAATTTGACAACTTTGATCTTGTAATTTTTGATAATACTTATCAAGTTCCCAAAGCAAAGTATTAAGATTTTCTAAAAATTGTTTTCCTATAGTAGTTTCTTTTCCATTTAACCATCCATAATTTTTTTCTTGTAATATAAGTAATATATCATTATATAATTTATCTCATTTGGTATTATTAGATTTTGGTAGGGGAAGAGAA